GATGCCTGGAAGAAACTCTGCTAGTAAGCCCCGCTAACATTGATACCACTCAGATCCTTAACGGACCCGACAAATATGGACTCAACTCGTACAGGACCCCACTCCGATCCTAGATGGACCCCACTAATATTATACCCACAAAACGAGATAATAGAGAGATTTGTTAAAGCCGGTGTTACTTTTCTCAAATTTTTACTTTGTTAACAAATATAACTCTTTTAGATGAATCTGTATGATAATGTCTTATCTTTGTACAAATAAGAACAAGTTTATGTGAATCGTTTAAAATTTTGAATGTCAAGTCATTGGCTAGGTGTATATTTCTGCCATCACATTGTTAGAATATAGCATACGAGCCGGCCCGCGGCATATAATACACCGCTATTTAGTTGTTTTTTTTTCTACTTTTCAGTTATTCATAATTTGTGAATTCGACACTAACAACGCTGCCACTGAAAATATTTCTTAAAAACACTATAAGTAGCTTGTTAAGGGTGATAACCCCCCCCCCCCTCCCCTTAAAATAGTTTCAAACTAAATTATCTGCCCCTAATAGTCGTCACTAAACCCGGCTCTGTTTGTAAACATTTAGAATGAACCACGGCTCGCCAGACCATGTAGAGTGGGGGTGGTAGGGAGCGCGTTTACAGCTTGTTTTCTAGCGTCTCCCAGAAGAGCATTATATATATATATATATATATATATATATATATATATATATATATATATATATATATATATATATATATATATATATATATATATATAGATTGTGTGAAGGGAGAGAACTGAGAATATATTTTACAAGTAGCCTAATCTTCCAAAAGTTATTTTGCCTTATTCATGTTGGTTGTTTATTTATTATGAAAATAAATTAAAACTGTATTTAAAAACCATAATTAAACAGTAATTTAAAAAAAAAATGACATATGTACACACGAAACACACACATACATATATCCATGTATAGATATAATTATTTTTTACATACTTGTATATATATATATATATATATATATATATATATATATATATATATATATATATATATATATATATATATATATATATATATATATATATATATATATATATATTGAAATTTATTTTTGCAGAAACCTTTACAGAAATATTCGCAACTACTTCCCAAAGTTTCACGGCGATGTAATAAGAGGTGTGGTAATGCATAAAAGACACACACAGACACACAGACACACACACATACATTGCTTTATATATATATATATATATATATATATATATATATATATATATATATATATATATTGAACTTTATATATATATATATATATATATATATATATATATATATATATATATATATATATATATATATATATATATATATATGACAGATTTTAAAAACAATTTTCATATATAATATATATATACATATATATATATATATATATATATATATATATATATATATATATATATATATATATATATATATATATATATATATATATATATGTATATATGGCCGTGTTTGAGATGATGTTGAAGCGTTCTGTGTGGCTGTGTTTGACAGTGTGTATATGTGATGTTTTTTTTTTACATGAATAAGAAATCGATAAAAATGTTTTTTTTTATTACTTTCTCGTATATACGAAGTATAGAGAAAGTATTGTAATCGTGAACAAAAATCACTTGAAATTTTAACAATTTTCACCGTATTACACCTCAGTCCTTCATCACATCCGAAGTATAGAGGACTTATTTTAATCGGGCAAAAATTACCAATTCAGATATATCAAAATTAAGAGGTTTTATGCGTAATCCAGTCTGAAAAACTGGGCTTTGCAATTCTGTCCGTATGTCTGTGTGTCTGTCTGTCTGTCCGTGTGTAAACACGATAACTTGAGTACCGTTACAGCTAGGTTGATGAAATTTCATATATAAGTATTTTATTAAAATCGTAGATCCGTATCAACTTTTGAGCGATTTCCAATAACCGGAAGTGGTACTTTTTCTACTTTGAATTTTTCAAAAGCCTATAACTTGATTACTATTACAGATAGATAAATGAAATTTCACATGTAAGTAAAAGATCTAATTCTCTACCTTCTGTTGAATTTTGAGTAATTTCCATTGACCGGAAGTAGTAATTTACGCTACTTCCGATTTCTCAAAAAACTAATGTTAATTTTTAAAGTACTAATAATATTGCGCACTATTATGCACTTTTTTAAATTTGCGTTCACTAGGTGTGCAATTCTTTTGTCTACGAGATTTTATTCTACTTTTAAAACTTTAACTATTTAAAATGGATTAAAAGTCATGTCCCCATCCCCTGTTGTTTTATATAAGAATATTCGAGAAAGTTTAGGGGAGATCACTCCCGGTTTTTTATTTTGACATTTTACGAATGATTATCTACCTCTAACCATTATTGAAAACATGAAGTAGTTTTTACTCACTTCTTGCCGTTCTAAAGCCTATAATGTGAGTTGTGTTTTAGTTAGATGGACGACATTTCCAATATTAGTATTAGATTGTACGCGCTGGTTTTGATCAATTTTCAAACGTAGTACTTTAATAAGGGGAAAAAAATCAGCATAAATTGGGTATGCGTTATGTTTCAATTAAGTATATGAAATTGCATAAATAAGGTCTGATATGTAGAATTACATTACTGTAAATTTTCTGATATACGGAAATTATATTCTACTCTTATTTAATTTTTAAAAGGACCGATAACCTAAACACAATTTCAGCTAGTTGGACATATTTAAAAAAATAATAAATCCGAGCAGGTATAATATGCTTTCTTGGCATGATTTCTTTAGCACTCATTAAGTCCCTCGACAATTTAGGAAAACACAATTACTTCCCTTCATAAAAAAAAACGTACATCGGAGGAAAAGTTTACTTTTTATTATTTTGTTTTGATGTTGGAAAAAAATACTTACGTAACTAGCACGGATTGATCAAGTACAATGTGGTAGGTGTTTTAGGTACTGTCTGTTATTTTTTTTATGCACTGGACCTACTGTTTACTTATTATTTTTTAAAAATCAATAACATTTAAGAAGCCAACTGTTCTATCTTTACTTTTTCCGTTTTCGGATTAACTTGGAGAATTTTAATGTTTGTATAGTCTTAAAGTGAATCAAATCCGGGCGTCTTCCGCCACCCCGACAGGGTGCTATTGGGCGCCCCGGGCCTTCCCGTGTTCGCTATGGCGCCTACTTTAGTTTAATTGAGTGCAAACGACTATGCATAAGATGGGGTACTATAGTCGTTTACTAAGCTGAAACAGGCTATTCCGCCGGCGCCCCAGCATGGTGCGATTTGGCGCCCCAGCATGGTGCGATTTGGCGCCCCGTTTATGTTCGCGTTTGTTTTATTTGTGTTTAGATTGAGGTTGCGTTTGTGGTTGGGTTTATGTTTGGATTTGATTTGTTTTTGTTTGCTTTTTTGTTTTTTGTATTTGTGTTTTCTTTTTGTTTATGTTTGCGGTTGTTTGTTGGTTTTGTGTGTGTGTTTTGTTTTGGTTGGTTGTGGTTAGGGTGGGCAATGCCGGGTATATGCTGATTACTAAACACACATCTCATGGTCCTTTATATATAGGTTTTTCACAGGGGCCAATGCAAGGCTGGCCGAGACGGCTAGTTTATTTTTAATTTTCATTTTGTGTTTTTCTTAAAATACGCTGGGGGTTGAGTTATCTTTCTACTACAGTTATAAACCCACGTTAGTGGGCAAATTATTGAAAAAAAAATCAAGTCTAATTTCAGTCCTGTCTATAAACACCAGATATGATGATACAGTTCTATTCTGTTCACAGTCAACAACTGTGTCGCCTAGTCGATCTTGCATTCGTTTTCCATGTCAAGAAAAATATTTAAAAACAACCAAACAATTATTGCAATCCTCTCTTTGCAGCACTTTAAAATCTGCGTCGAACGATGGGTATACACGCTGTATTAACAATGGTAGACATTTCGTAAAGCAAGTGTAAAACGTGTATGCTTTAAAGTGTGTGCTATGAAGCGTAAATAACACAGTGTTCAACCCTTGTGTCTTTCCTTATGAAAATAAGTAATTTATAGTAAGATTTAAAGAAATGACTACTTAAATACCTATTAAGATTAAAAATAGATATCCACGGAATGGCAGCGTAAACGGATGTATCTGTAAATGTTTGTTTTACTTTTTATATACATTAAAATTTCTTTATAGTAATTTAAATAGTAGTGTATACTTTATTTTCTACTTTTTAGTGCATTAGTACATAAAAGCTTGTTATTAAAACGTTTTTTATGATTTTTTAATACATATTTTATTTAGAGTTTCATGACTAAAAACCATTGCGCGCCCATTGAAACGTGATAAGGCGCGACTGAACGTGATGACGCGTGTGGTGCGGTTCGATATAAATTACTAATTCGGTCCAAATTTTAATTAATTCATAAAAAAATTAATTAGGCATTCAATTAAGTCAAATTTAATGCCACTATGCATTGTCTTCATGTCTTGACCTACGTGCCAACTGTGAATGGTATCTGACAAGTAGAAGAGTCCGAATTTTTACTCCTGCGTTTCGATCTAGACAGACAGACTGACGACTGACGACTGACGAGGAAGTGAGTTAAATAAAAGCTTGTAAAAAGACAGGAGCCTAAGACACGTAATTAAGAAGGTGGAAGTAGCGTTTGGTGGGACACAAACTGCGAAAGGCTCACTCTTATGTGACACGCCAGGCGCTTGAGTGCAACCCCCAGGGAAAGCGGAAGAGAGGGCGCCCAAGGCAGACTTGGAGGGTATTCTTCTTGAAAAAAGTGAAGACAGCAGCGATGTATTAAGAAGCTGCAAAATGAAAAGCTGATGACCAGACAAAATGTAAGGGTATAATTGAGGCCCTAAGTTCCACAATGGACAAAGAGGTTTAAGTCAAGTCACAAACTAGCGAACTCACTTTTCAACATGAGCAAAACCAAATTAATAACAACCATCAGTTTGTTTAATTTAACGTTTTAATTGTTTTCAAATTCATGTAATCAAAAGCCATTGACCATTGTACGGTATCCACAGAGTTCAGATGTTCCGTGGCAGCGGTCATCGTGTGGTCATTCGAGTGCACTCAGAGTTAGCCGTTTGTGCATGAGTTGCAGGAGTTGCAGAAATCGCAGTAGCACTGGAAGCTCCAGGTGTAGTTGCCGTTGTCATCGACGAAATAGAAGCTGTCGTACCTCAAACCCTGGTGATGATAGAAATGTTAAGTTTGTTGGAATTGTGTTGTGCCGTAGCGTATTTGGGAGCGTGTTGATAAGGGTGGGATTCAAGTTCGTTTCCAATTAAGTAAAAGTCCTTTTATTACCTAGCGAACAATTTGGCAGATAAAGTAGAGTTTGTTTCTTAACCTCGGAATTTAAAAGGATGACGTGGTCATTATTGTGGCCAGCCGCCTTTACTTTTTAACAAATTTAAATGTCAACAGTCTCACGAGAAGTTCGAGCTAATGTCGCTGATTTCGATTTAAATTTGCTTAGTTTAAAAATGTATATTATAAATTTATAACCCCAATGTTACGATCTCATAGATGAAATCGAGTTTATCTGTTACATAGACCTCAGCATATGAAGGGATAGTGTGGTCAGCACTATGCCCATTATATTAATAACTTTAAATCTGGACCTTCATTCTTGATTCACTATTTTAAATATCTGCGTGTATTAAACATGTATGAAACAACCCAATGAATGAAACACAGGTGTGACGATCAAGGACTTACAGATTTTACGTTTCTTGGATCCCTGTAGTTCCAATAGCCGTTGGGGAATGGCGCATCGTTTGCCAAACAGTGAGTCAAGGGCTGGACTATGTTCAGGTAATTAACTAGGGCTGGGTTAAAGTATACCTGAGGGGAAATGCATTACTATATTTTAAAGATGATAAATTTATTGCTTGTATTCTGAGAATTTAAAACAAAATAAGATAGCAATAATAAACATGCGTTGTTGTTTAACAATTTCAAGATTAGTAAGTTGCCTATCAGTCAAGTCATATCTGCACATTTTTTTCCAACTACAACAAATTAGCTACTATTTATACATTGTTGTATGAAGTATGAGCTGAAATAGTTTTCAAACCAGTTTGAAATTATTGAGCGAATTATTTTTTAAATGGATAAGTCAAGTTCCCTTTTCGGACATGTCGATCTAAACGACAGATACAGTACAGATAATGCTTTATAGATAATGCTTGTTGATGTGAATGGATGGTGTGCTCAACATTATGCCGAGTCTCCATTACTGCTCTCTAATATGAGTCAGGTATTTTTTCTGCATGGGACGTCCTACATTTGTGAGTTCGAGTTTCAAGCTAGATACTTTGGAGTTAGTAGCCGAGCGCTCTACCTACAAACTCAAACATGCCATATTTTGGTGTGTGATAATTCAGGCTAGTTTTACCATTGGCAGACGCAAGTCCCAGAAGTTGGTCTGAAGATAGACTGGGGTGGTGCCTGTAAGTCCAGCACGGTTGGCTATCAGGTTGCTGACGGCTATTAGTTTGGTGCATGAGGCTGGTGGTGCTGTGGCAGATCCTGAATACAGGTATCTGTGGATGGGAGTGTATCTCGCTAACCATTAGTCTCATTTATAACGAATATTATCATAGTAAAACAGATAAAAGCACACATAGAAACATCGGTAACAACAACTGCATCTCACAGACAAAATATCTCAGGATACTTGCACTATAGACATCGTGGACCATATATCTCAGACAATAATATTTTCTCGTAATAAATTATGTCATGAGATCATTTGTCCATGAAATAATTTGTTCGTGATATCTTTTGTCCTGAGATATTTTGTCTGAGATATTTTGTCTAAGTTCATTAGGAATGTAATTTTTACAAGCAATCATCTGAAGAAAAAGCTGATGACTTACCCATGTGGTGGGGGGGAGTTGGGCACAGCGTTGTATCCCGTGTATGCCTGGGTCGGCACGCATTTGTTGTATCGCTTGATGCAGAAAGCTGTCAAAATACTTTTTGTTACATGGCCGCTTAGAAATATTGACGCAAATTTATTCAAAAGTTTTTTTTCCCAGACTTTATGTGTGCCTTAAATAAATTTTCTCGCGGTAGACCTTATTTGTCTCGAGAAATGTTTCTAGTCAACACACAGAGAGGGAAATAGCTTACAACACGTTTGAAAATATAGGGTGTATAGCACAAAGACATGGGAAACCACGGCATAAACCTAACAGAAAAAAAACACAAGACCCAGACTTTCCCAACTCCATTTCTAACGTGGAACTGTGTACAAACCAAAGAAATGTTGAAAATGAAATCTACAAAAAATAAAATAAACGATGTATCGGCCCTACTCTTAGAAGACGTTGACAAACATAGCTAGACATGATTTACAGATTAGTCTAGGGGAAGAAAAAGCGGTAGACCACTTTCAAACAACAGGTTAACTGACACAATAAAGATAGGTTACCAATAGGAACTTCCGGCCGAGTTGCCCGGTAGGCTCTTGCGACGTCCTAAATGGCCGACATGTTAGCAAATAACTAATTATGTTAAATTTCTTGGCGAATTTCGTTTTTGTGGAATGGCTTTTAGAAAAGGCATTGTTTACACAGACAGCATGTCAATACACAAATCTAGGGGGATTAGTAGACAGTGTTGTAACCTTTTGTTTCGTTACTAAATATTACTAACTTCTTTTTGTTTGTTTCTAAAAAAACTATATGCAATGTGTTCAGTACTCAAAAATGTGTAATATCTTACGAGTATCAAATATGAATCGATTTTTTCCATTTTATGAGCTGACAAAATATTTGATACTCACAGTCCAGGGCGCCGTAGCCGCAGTACTGACAGAAGCGTGAGGACAGACCCAGCTGAGCGTTGTAACACGGGTCCTGGCCATCTGTGTCCTTGACGAGCATGGCAGTCAGGGTCAGGGTGAGCAACACTAACGGCCTAGAGACAAAAACGTATTGGATTATATAGAATGTTGGCAATTATTTTTTAAAGACAAAAGATATGTAGGCAATCATTTTATATAAGCAATAATATGTAGGTATTATATTTACAGTATTTTTTTTTATCTCAGCTATTTTCTAAGTGGTCGCAAAACATGTTTTTATAACAGATGTTTTAAAAAGGAAAGCAAAGTCATTACCAGTTTCCTTTTTACTTTACTATACAAGTTGTTCAAGTACTTTTGAGTTTAAAGTAAATAATGTACCATGTATTGACTTTTGAATATCAAACTTTCCAGAGCGTGTTCGAGTAGTAAAGCTGTCGACATGCTATCGCGAAAGTCTCGAGTTCGGATGAGGTCTCGAGTCTGTAGAACGTGCCAGAGTCAATCCAGCTCTGCTGGGTACCTGACTTAAGTTGGGGTAATAAATTCGGCTGGGCATAGCACTGACCAGACTTTTCCCCAGTATGCAGAGGTCCTTGAAATAAAAACACTCTACTTCATCTCGCCTCAATGTGTGTTGGGCATGAACGGTAAAAAAAAGTTTATGATAGTGTGTTATGTCTATAGTGAATAAATTAGTAATAGACCAAAAGACAAAATCACTTAAAGATTCATAAACCAATTTTATTATGACTAGGACTCGCTAAAGACTTATACTCACGTCATGGTTGAGCAGGGTTTGCATCTTCCTCACGAGATCCGTATCGCCTTATATAGGAAGTGCTCACCTTTGTTTAACGACAACATCTGTCGGGACGTGACGGATAAAAAACACTGGAAAACTCGTCTTTTGTGTTCAGGTAACGCTGATATTTTTCTCGATTAACGGAAAACATTTTTTGTTTAACATCTGTTTGTTATAATAACATGAATTTTACAACGTAAGCTAAATACAATAAAAATCTGGGGATAGATCCAAGGCTAAACAAATTTTTATTCATAGCAAAAGCTAACCCATATCACTATTAGTAGATTACATCACCACCACACCATATTCCTAACACACCGCACCACTTTAATATCACAACACTACCACACTAAAACACTACCACAATGTCATACCACAATACCCCACACTACCACATCACTACCTTATCACACTACGCCACCAAATTAGTAAACTACTAAAAGTCGTAACCACAGTCCACTACAGTACTAAATCACCTCAGTTTCTCTCAGTGTTTCTTTCAGACTTTTTTATCCGGAGCTGGCACTTGAAACTTTCTGGAGAAGGGGGGAGGGGGCGGAGGAATATATTTTCTGGAGTGGTGGTGGGATAACGAGGAGATGCCTTAACGAAACACTGGATTCTTAATAAAAGATCAAACGCAAACACATAGATTTACAATGACACCTTTAATGTCTTCATACCACACCACCAGCACCAGACCACACCATCATACCGCTTTAAAGCTGCATCAACACACCTCCACCATATCATAATCACTAAACCACACCACTTCCCCACCACACAACCACACAAAATCACACGTTTTATGATCAGCCACACAAACCATATTGTAGTTTTCAAAACGCTTAACAAAGACACGACTTTAATGAACTACATACTTTCAAGGTTGCCCTAAATAAATTTTCCTTCAATATTTCTTTTCATCCGTCCATCACAAAAAAGCGGTGAAATGTTTTATCAAGAGAGTTGCTGATATTTACATTCATCAGAACATGTTTGCACAACGTGGTAAAGTCCCTTTTAGTCCTCGAAGGCTTTTGTTATGTAACCCATTGTTGTGGGTGTGATACACGTTTTAGTGACAGGGTAAGTTTTATCCTAGTGGTTGGTAGCGTAAGTTGTAGATCTACAAATTCGATAAGTTTAGCTGGGTAAGTTTATCCTTGTATTTGGTAGCGATTGTTGTAGATGTCTACACGTTTGATACATTTTATTGACGGGGTAAGTTTTATCCTAGTGGTTGGTGGCTATTGTAAATATCTTCAATTTGATAGAAGTATTGATGACAGGGTAAGTTTCCATCCCAACGACATGTAGATTAAGCTAAAGATATTTACTCTTTAAAAAAAAACACGTTAAAGTCAGGTAATCTAACGCTTAATAACACTGTATTAAATTTGGTTTTAAAAAATTATATTTCGTGACAAAATCAATAACATCTACGATATCCATTTAGTGAAGTAGATGTCTATCGGTCAATGTGTATATTAAGAGTTCAATTAAAATCTATTAAATCAAATGTGCTTTTCTGGTGACTGTTATCTAGATATTTGAAGATGGCTTGTATAAGTTTAAAATATCTGTTTACAAAATACACACTATTGGTAATGATGCGTGCGCAGACCCGTTCACCTTCAAGAAAGGCTACCATGCTTAGAATATACATTTTCGGCACCAACCGCCATTTTGAAAACTCGTGTATATTCTATGTTTTTTAACTTAACAGTAACAGCAATTTAAAACAAAAAAGATTAACTTTTGATCGTTAAATATATACCTTTATCTGAGTGATCATAGTGGAATCTAGTGTTAATCACACAAAATTTTTGAAAAGGGCATATATTTATTTTTACTTTTATTTTTTCTTTGCAAAATAGAATGTCTTCAACAATCATATAAAAAATACATCATTGGTAAACAATGGCATACATGTACACATTTCGGCGCTATAATACATAATTCACAATATATTTACAATACAATTCAATATTTAACAATAAATACATATACAGGTAATCTTGTTTCATAAAGAAACAAATAAGAATGTTAATTAGTCTACTGAGTGTGGATACATCAAGGGCTGTGCGAGGGATGACGATTTTACCCTCATATTTATTATGTCTAAAGAAGCGACTTCAGTTCCCTTAAATAAAAACATGCCTTTCTAGACACACCCAATAACTCTAAAGAGTTAAGTCAGTTTTTCGTTCACTGACACCGCACAATCCAGACTCTATTTAATCTGTCTTATCACCCAACAAATGACAATATTTACACTCATTAAAAAAATACAACTTTTTATACCTATAAAATGGTTATATACATAAAACATTTTAAAAAATTAATTAATATTTAGCATATACAAAAACGTTTTCTTTAAAAAAAAAATAATCGATAAAATAATTATACAACTTATATTTATAAGATTCATCCTCTTTACACACTACATTTCTCCCACACAATAATCAGTAAAGTTATATTCGCGATGAAAACACCCGTTTAAATTGTATATTGTATTACTTTAAGCAGGGATTTAATGCCACCATTACATGTTTTAAATAGAGTACAGGTCTCCGGTAAACTGATCTATTCATCTTTTTACAAAGCACAATGTTTATTTATTTAACATATAAACTGGCTTTGACATGGTATTTTTTTAGTTAGGTCCATACGGGGAATATACAGAATACCGCAACATTATAACAATACATGGTACATCATACGTGGGTAATAATTCCGTTACAATTCGGATTAAAAATGTGATTCTTCAATGTAAATTGTAACGTCTAAAATATTATTGAGCATTCAAAAAAATATTTTCAAAAGTATTGTAAAACACTTTGTATTTGATGAACCGTTGCTAGAGTTAAATTTTAAAAAAATGTAGAATTTACTTTTACTAGTTTAAAACGAAAATCGTTGTGTACTTTTAACTAATGTTTATCTTTTTTTTTCATATTTGAAATTTCCAAAGTTAAATTAGAAACATCATTTTAAAGAGTTATTTGAGTTAGTTGCCAGGGAATGTTACAGTCAAATCGAAATATTATGTGAAAGACATTATGTAAAGGCTTAATATTCACTCGTTGATGTTCATTCGATCCAACTTTCTTCGTTTATAGTGGCTTTCAATGTTTGCTTTGTAGTAGACTTTGTCTTCATTTTATAGAGCTTCGTTGTTTCATTGAGGTTTTACGTGTTTACATCAGTTTAATTCTTCCGTCAGAGCGTCATTCACTAGAGGACTGGTCTCTAGAGACGAGTGATACTGCCCTATTGAAACAAACAAGAACACCATTAATGTTAAAGGATAACATAATTCGTGGTTCACATGATACAATATGTTCAGTCTTTTGCTTTGTAGATATATTGGATGTGTCAGTTGTGTGTGTATGTGTGTGTGTAAGTGTGTGTGGTAGGTGGGTTGGGGTAGTTAAGATGGGATGGATTCTAGAGGTATTTCCAAATATGTTATATAACATAGGGTCTACTGTCTGAAGATACGTTGTATAGAATATATGATGTATTTTACGTGTGGCTCAGGTTCTACTTTATGTGTAGCTCCAAGACGTAGGTATGGCACTAAGATTCAGGTGTGGCTCTATGACTCAAGTTGGGCACTAAGATTCAGGTGTGGCACTATGGCTCAGGTATGGCACTAAGATTGAGGTGTGGCACTAAGATTCAGGTGTGGCACTAAGATTCAGGTGTGGCACTAACATTCAGGTGTGTCACTAAGATTCAGGTGTGGCACTATGATTCAGGTGTGGCACTAACATTCAGGTGTGGCACTAACATTCAGGTGTGGCACTAACATTCAGGTGTGGCACTATGGCTCAGGTATGGCACTAAGATTCAGGTGTGGCACTAACATTCAGGTGTGGCACTAAGATTCAGGTGTGGCACTAACATTCAGGTGTATCACTAAGATTCAAGTGTGGCACTAAGATTCAAGTGTGGCACTAAGATTCAAGTGTGGCACTAAGATTCAGGTGTGGCACTAAGATTCAAGTGTGGCACTAAGATTCAGGTGTGGCATTATGACTCAAGTGTGGCTCTAAGACTCAGGTGTGGCATTATGACTCAAGTGTGGCACTAAGACTCAGGTGTGGCACTAACATTCAGGTGTGGCACTAACATTCAAGTGTGGCACTATGACTCAAGTGTGGCACTAAGATTCAGGTGTGGCACTAAGATTCAGGTGTGGCACTAAGATTCAAGTGTGGCACTAAGATTCAGGTGTGGCACTAAGATTCAGGTGTGGCACTAAGATTCAAGTGTGGCACTAAGATTCAGGTGTGGCACTATGACTCAAGTGTGGCTCTAAGACTCAGGTGTGGCACTATGACTCAAGTGTGGAACTAAGACTCAGGTGTGGCACTATGACTCAAGTGTGGCACTATGACTTACTTTACGTGTGGCCGCGGCCAGGAAACTGGGCGGGAGACTGTCACTGCTGTCCTTACGAACGGCGTCTGTCCTCATGTGTGGCTGGACGCCCAGAATGACCTCAGATTCCTTGCTGGACACTGAGCTGCTCCTCCTGTCAAAGCCACGGTTCTGATGGTGAAAAAAACAACACAATACATTGAAATGTTTTATAATAAAGTATAACTAGTTGTTACTTTTCCATATCTAGCTAATAGTGAATTAAAAAAGCTCATTTTAGCTGCAGTTTTGAGGGGGTGGGGGGGGGGGGGGTGGAGCCAAATTGAAAGTTTGTCCCCGGGCGCCGGGAGGGGTCGTTACGCCTCTGATCCCTAGCCTAGCTTCAGCCATTTAATATTGTGTTAAATAAACCCATACGTCTGGAGACATCAACAGTTGCCTTGTATTTTTGCCTAGAACTTTATAACAGTTAACTATAAAACCTGTCTGTTCATCGGAATCTTGACATAGGCATTTAAAAAAACAACTATTTACACTGTGTATTGTTTAATCTATTCTTTAGGTTTTAATATGGAAATGGAATGAGAAAACCCATTTCATGTGAATTCAGCTAAAATTATTATTTGTTACAGGCGAAAGTTATTTTTTAAATCTAATGATGTGATACACTTAGCAAAGCCTTACATCGATGCCGTTACCGTCTTCGTTCTCCAGCGAGAAGACATCGCTAGTGGAGTCTAGCGTCGTGTTGTGACTCGCCTTCCTACCCAGGTTCTCGTGGCCACTACTAGATAGACGAAATACAAATGTTATAGTTTCGTACTCTGGTCAACTCATTTCATGTTTTTTATAGGCATCATCAGGACATGTAGGTGCATGCATATATTGATTGTTTTTTTTACACGTTCAGGAGTATGGTTAGCTTAGTGTCAAGGTTAGATTCAAATATAGGGTGATAATTAGGGTAAGAGCTAAGAGAAAGTTATAACTAGAAACATGGTTAAGCTAGCGATTTTGTCAAAATAATAGTCTCGAATTCGTCAGAAAAACGTTTTAAAAAGTACCGTATGCCACAATATCAAATAATCATGTACTCGTGTGTACGTTTACACTCTTGTGTAAAGGTATTGAGTACGCCACAGACATGATATTTTAATATTTGTGTTGATGTGTAGAAGGACATTTTAACAAATAGCTTACTTTAAGTAACTTTTTTTTTTAAATTAAAATATTTAAAACACGGCGAGACCACTTCAGACTGGATGAAATCTTTAATTTTTTTATTTGTAAGTCCTTGTTGGGTAGGAGTTAATCCGAGTTAATCTTACCCTGACCTGTGTGGGTACACGATAGCTTTACAGATGTGCTCCACACATTCTACCATGCCTATCAAGCTTGTGTGTGAAATAAAAAAAAAAAATTACTTGTCGTTTTCCTCGTCTGAGTCAATGTCCCCCATGTCGAATAGGCTGGGCACACTGCCCATGCTGGACATGGTGGAGATCAGGGTCAGGGACGCGGCCCGTTCCAGAACGGAGTGAAGGCTGCCACGGCGTGCTGCTTTACCTGGAGGAATCAGGGAGAGAACAAAAAGGTGTGTGAGTCACCTTACAGGTGAGTTCATGTTGTGAAATAATTTAAAGAGGAATGCAGAATTTTTGTTTGAAAATTTTATGGCACAGTGTTAAGTGACATTAGGGCAGAGCGGTGGATTGGTACAAAGGGCAGAATATTTAAATGGTATACTGACATTATGTTTAAATAATATTTTGTAAGAATGAAGAAAAGGTATAGGGGCAGACTAGTGGAATGGTGTACTAGAAGAGTGGTTAACTTTTTATAGACATGTATCGCCGCGCCCGAACGTTATCCCCACCCCCCCTCCCCCCATTTTATACTTCCTTACTATACACTAGTTTAAAAGCATTGACAAAATATCCACGAGAAATTGGGCTGTTTTGATTAATGGTCACCTGACAAAATGTCACTCAGTACCTGAGCGGCGTCCGACCGAATTTATTTTTACGATAACCGGAAATCGTCCAATCGTCTGCTGCAATATAACTCTATTCGACGTCAGCGTTTAGAGGGTTAAGGAGGCTACTGTATAGACAGTAACGCATTAATCAAGCTATAGACTCAGGGTCCTAGCACTATACTTAGGCACATGGAACAGATATTTGGCGCTCATAGAGTCGGAATTTTGATTTTTAAGAAATAATTTTTGAAATGTCGATATGCAAGCATTTTTCCTCTTTTGTTTTAAAATCAGAGCGTATGTTAAAATCGTATGGCTTGTGCAATTTGTTAAATATTTATCTGGGCGTAAAACAAAAATATCACTTGTTGTTAATATCGTTGATTAGTAATGTATTATGGGTTTTTTTTTTTTTAATTTCAATTTTTACCTATGGTGAATCCTTGCCTCTATGTATATTTGTATATATTAATTTATGTATAGTATTTATCTTTTATATATATAGGGGTCATCCATTTATGACGTCCACACGCGGGGGTAGGGGGTCCGAAAAAAATTGACTTTTGCGGACGCGTATGGACTTATATAAGGTAAATAAGTTGATTTTTGAGGACGGGGGGGGGGGGTGTCCAAAATCCAAAAAATTAAATTTGTGGAAGTCATAAATGGATGACCCCATATACACGTGTGTATGTAAATGTATGTGTATTTAGCCCATGTAAAACTATTATATTTTTAAAAAAGCTTTAACACGGATGAACTACTCTGCCAAAGCCAGCATTCTTTTATTTTATTTAGTAGTGTCCCTTTAGATAAATGACCTGTTTTTCAGTCTTTTATTTTTTTCATTTTATTTTTAAAGAAAAGACGTTTTTTTTAAAATATTTTTTAACATCAACTGTATGTTTTCATTTATAAAATATTCATGCACAAATCATCGATAGCGTAGAGTATTCTTGGGCAGCCATAGACAATTTTGTAATGTTGAAAAAACATGTAATTTAGGAGACCTTCCCACATTATGCACTATGTACAGTTCACGTTTGAATTTTTTCTATAGACCTGTTCAACTTATATATGCTAATTTATGCATACAACTGCGCAGCTCATTAATTTATAGCCCCTCACGACCAGGAAAAGAGAGAACATTGATAAGGTAACTGCGTAGTAGTAATATTGCCGAGACGTGGTTACGTCCCATGTTTCATAGTTATTGAAATTTTCTCTCTAGCCCCATCCATCGAATATAATAGATTACTTCCCCTGTGTACCGGCTTAGTTAAAAAAGGGACGTTTAAAAATCCAGAGTAAAAATTAGCATTAAAAGCATAGCGTGACGAAACTTGATACAGCCGCGCTATACATTTACATAATGTTTTAGTTATTATATGTATAACCTATCGGTAAAAATGGTTTCAAATTGGAATGGTGTGGTTTATATTTAATGTTAAATGTACACCTTGTGGAATGACTAATTTCTTTGCATTCAATGACGCTATTAAGAGAAACTTGCTTAATCAGTGCTTTATCTGAGATTGATTTAACCTTGTATTAAGCACATTTATACACAGAGATACTTAAATTTCTGAGTGAACTATGGAATTATTTTATTTACAGAATAGCTGCCTGTCTAATTTTAGTTATACACATTGAATTGCTAACATTAGATATATTCAATTTAAGGAATGTATTTTCAAGATGAATTAAAATGAGCAAACTAACCCAAGGGACCTAATCCCACCCCCCCCCCCGCCAAACTTACATATATAAGGCTATATATAAGTGACCTAGAGATATCATTTTCAAAGGGAATTGTTTTCTTGTGAACTAGAATTATCCAAATAAAGGGAAGTAATTTTCTTGTGAACTAGAATTATGAAAATAAAGGGAAGTAATTTTCTTGTGAACTAGAATTATCCAAATAAAGGGAAATAATTTTCCTAAGGAGTTAGCCTCACCTGTTGGTGAACAAGCCGCAATGTCCGACTCTGATGCGCCCATCTTTCTACACAGCCCAGCCAGAGCCTTCACCTCGTGCTGAAAGTAACACGAGTTTGTTAGTAATAATGTTACTGTAAATATCTTTTGTTAGTAACAATTTTACTGCAAGCATCTTTTGTTTGTAGCAATATGCATAGTTTTGTCTTCGAATTTTAAATAATATTTTTAAAAATAATATTTCAAAATAAAACTTATTTGGTGTCTTTTTATTAGACATTCTTATTTAAAAACTGGTGAGATGCTCCAACCATCACATTTTTTAATTGTTTTCTATTTTTACAAAGTCATTCACTTTCTCTCTCTCTCTCTCTCTCTCTCTCTCTCATTACATAATATAGAGGGTTAAATAAAATATGCTACAATGAGCTAGGTAGGGTTTAGAGCTGTTAATCTACGTCAACACATCATTGCATTGCGTGTAGCGGTTTTGTTTTTGACTAGCTGTCAGAACCCTAATCCATCAAAACGGACAACAATACTCCACTCTGTGGCCTTGTCTCCACTCTGTGGCCTTGTCTGAAAACTATTTTTGTAACTTGCCGGCCAGAGACTTTACAGCGGCAATGATCGGGGACAACCCCCCCCCCCCCCCCCCACACACACACACACTTTTAATTGTCGGTGAAGGTTTTTTTTTTTTTTACCGTGCCCTTGACCATCGGCAACTCTGGAATCTCAAAAAACCGGCACTGAGTACCTTCCAGTTCACGTAATGCCGGCACTTGGTATCTAAAGACTACCCCTCCAGTTGATGTCAAGCCGGCACTAAATACATCCCAACTCAACTCAAGCCGGCACTGAATAGCTCCAAGCTTACTTAAAGCCGGCACTGAAGATTCCTCAGGTGACCTAAGGTGGGCACTGAGCAGTCACAGCTCACTAAAAGCCGGTCTACCTCCCCCTCCAAGCTGACGTACCTTACACGACAGGGTTTTCTGGAGTGACTCCTTGTTTTCCACCCGCCTCCCCCCAACCTCCACCCAGCTGACGTACCTTACACGACACGGTTTTCTCGAGTGACTCCTTGTTTTCCACCCGCCTCCCCCCAACCCCCACCCAGCTGACGTACCTTACACGACACGGTTTTCTCGAGTGACTCCTTGTTCCCCCCCCCCCCTCCCTCACCACACCCCACCCAGTTTGCTTACCTTATAGGACACCGTTTTCTCGAGTGACTCCTTGTTTCTTTCCCCCCCCCCCCAACCCCCACCCAGTTTGCTTACCTTACAGGACACCGTTTTCTCGAGTAAAACCCTTGCTTCCCCCCCCCCACCCAAATCCCCTCCCAGCTTGCTTACCTTATAGGACACGGTTTTCTCGAGTGACTCCTTGTTTCTTCCCCCCTCCCTCACCACACCCCACCCAGCTTGCTTACCTTATAGGACACCGTTTTCTCGAGGGACTCCTTGTTTTTCTTGATGGACTGACGCAGCCTTTGTTTGACGATCTTCAGCTCCACGTGGTCCTTCTCCTGGATGACCAACACAAAACCTGGACAACAGAATTATAATGAAATAATTAGTCTAATTTTAGATTACGCATTGAAGGTGACGTACTACAGCATTTAGGAATGACTGAAACAATTTCTACATCTAATAGCTCATTTTTAAAAATAATTTTCATTAAAATTAAAATCATGAGAAATCGAAAAATGTTGTAATTAAATGACACTATAATTTGGCTTGGCATTAATTTCCCCTACTATTTGACCATGGTATCCCACATATACTTTGTTTGCTACTATAGAAAACAGACCTATTTTGCCTACCCAGTTATGTGAATTTAATAACCCAAAAAGTTTATGTGTTGTCACTTACTGTTGACTATCCTGACAACTCTCCATGGCAACAGAATAATCAAGATGGTCGCTGCTTCAGTACCCGGATGTGCCCAAATACCTTCCCAGAAACCAACATCCAGACACCAGGAAACGGTGACAACAATGGCGTCGAATACCTGCAGGGATAGAGTGAGGTGTGGGTGGAATTAGTGACGTGGGCGGAAGTTTAATTAAAAAGTGGTTACATTACGTGATCAATTAGGGGTAAACTGCAGAACATTTTCTAACTTGTGGGCACAGGTAGGAATAATTATAATTAAGATGTATCAGGTAAATTTCGAAATCTTGAAGAAATATTTTATCTGACCGTACCTCAAGTTTGTGGTGCTTCAGCTTCTTGCCCATAGCGAAAACTTTGAGGAAAGTCTGAAATAGGAAAATACGTTGTACAAACAACTCTTATTAGAATCATGCAACATGACGTTTGATTTAAAATGTACTTATGAGCAATCAGAATGCTTTAATAAAGACCGATTTGGTACACATTTACTTCTATTAAAGAAACTAGAACATTGGTTATATCATACAAGTCCGAAAATAAAAATAACCTATAATATTAGTTACTACAAGCTAAAAATATTTTTTTACAAGCTGTTTAAGCAAAACAAACTTTATGACAATAGTTCACCTTTTCCCCGTCTTGCCAAAGACACATGGGGCAGATGAAGTAGAGTCCATCTGTTTATTTTCTATAATTAGAGACGCTCTACTGACATGAACCCGGATTCGAACTCGGGACTTTCAGGTTAGTAGTCTAGCTACCACAAGCAATAAATAAACTTACAACAATAGTTATCTCAAGTAGGAAAAAAACCTATGACCATATTAACCTGAAGCAAGAAATAAGCCTATGACTAAAGTAACGTGGAGCAAAAAAAAAAAAAAAAAAAAAAGCCTATGTCAATAATTACCTCAAGTAGCAGTGCCGACAAGATGGCCAGACTGCCCAGGTGGAAGATGTGGGTCATCGTGTAGAGCATGCCGTGGTCCACCTCATGGCCAGGCACCTTCGGCTCTATGGCCCTCTTGGATCTGTGGCCACTTGCTGACACAGGAATTGTAAACATCGAGCTGCAACAAGGATTAACTCCCTTGTTTAATAAGCACAACACCACTTCCCGTTATGAGACACATTTTACCTCCCCTTATTTAATAATGGTACCTCACTGTTCATTTACAAGATTTATTCCCACCTCTCACGCCCCCTATTTAACTATTAACAACTTATTTATAAAGGACCATATGCTTAGCTTAAAACACTGAATATATCCATTTATTTAACTTTCAACGACTGTCCGTATTTAACATGGATTTCAATGTCATCCCTTTTATTTAGCATGTTATATGCCTGATGAATATGATCATCATTTTTATTGCTGTTTAAAGTTGATTTTTTTCCCTCTATACAAGAGAAAAGCTTCGACAAATCCTCGTGAATGACATCCTACAAACCCTTAGCTCACTAGAGCAACATCATTAACTTAAGCTCTATACAGCTGTTACTATACTTAGGCATCGGGCAATTGTTTTATTCGGCTATAGAGATTTTGACTGTACCTGACAGACGTGCAGTTGTGCGGCGACAGTTTATCGGACTGGAAGTGCACGTCGTTGCCTAGCAACACGTCGTTGATGGCGTCGAGGTTCCACTTGGGGTGTAAGGAGTTGTTCAGACACGGCAGGAACTCCATCAGTACTGCGGTCATTTTGTCGTCCAGGTCTTCATAGTAGGTTAATTTTTCTGGTGGATACAGGCGTGTAACGTTAGGTAACGTTACAAAAGTAACATTTAACACGGCAACGGTAGCGACTTTTTACGTCACTTAAATGATAAGTTATAGCAAATGGCACAGTCATATGAATTTTTATGTCCTTCCATGCACCATAAACAACTTTTAGATGACTTCATATGACCTCAGTCGAATACAAATTAGTGACGTCATCTCTGTTTTGGCTGTTTTTTTAGGTCATACTAGGTCAATTTTGAATTACAAATTCAACAGTTTAATGTCAATAGTAGTAACAATATGTGACGTGACACAGTTTACGGTTTAATGTCACACTATCAAGACTGACGTCACACAGTTTACGGTTTAACGTCACACTATCAAGACTGACGTCACACAGACTCACCTTTCATGATGAGGATATCGCAGATGAGCTGACCGATAACGCAGACGGCGTCGAGTGCAGCCAAGGTGCAGACGACAATCATCACCACGTGGGTGTGGAGCAGGGTAGACAACCTCCTCTGGCATCTGAGAACAAGGGACGGAATTCTGGATGAGCATTGTGAACAGAAATCTTGCAAGGGAGCAAACACGATCGAGAGGTTTTCGGTCAGACTCTTCAAGAGTTTGTGTAGGAATTTATAGAGTCGAATCGTATAGTTTTGTTTGTCCGACATGGCTTCAAATAATATAGACACTAGATATTTTACTGAAGTTCTATTTTTTAAGATATATAATGTTAAAATAGATCTGTATACAAAATAGGTTTTACGTCGCACTTTATAGTAAAATAAATCACACAAATTGCGAAAATGAATGTTGTTTTTATACGATCTACAAGTCACGTGATATTTTCGCGGTAAACTCTACGCATCTTGTGAGGAACACGACTGCTTTCCGTTGGAGTAATTCTCCCACAATTCTTACTCATCGTCTTCCGATTGGCTCGTCCAAACCACGTGCCCCGCCACAACTATCTCACGCGGCCTGTCTAGACTCGACGCTGACCCACATAGGTGACCAGACGACACCACGGCATTATGGGCCGGTGAGTTTCCCGGGAGCCCTGGGTTAGTCATCCATAAATTAACAGCCTTACATGCGGGCCCTGTCAAACAGGACTGTAGACGGCCGCTCATTTAAATAAATAGTTTCACACTAAGCTAATGAGAAGATTCGTCACCTCACTTGTGAATTGTTTTTAAATCAATCCCTGAATTGTAGCAGTTAAACTTTGTTTGAAAATATGCAGAGGAACAACGCATTATATGACCAACTGTTTTTACACATACACACACACACACTATATATATATATATATATATATATATATATATATATATATATATATATATATATATATATATATATATATATATATATATATATATATATATATATTATTTTTTATTTTTTTTTTAATCGGGGAATTTCCACACGCACGTTTAAAACTAGAACAACTATAAGTATAAAACTTGTTGGTTCAAAGCATAGATGCAGTAGAGTTTTAGTTTGGTTTCATTGGCTGCAGTCCGATTTTGTTCTAGTCTTTGATTATATTGAATCACTTATCAATTAGTTCTGTATGGGCTTTTTTTTAAAAAACCCACTTTATGAAAAACTAAATCTACTAATTGAACATCATTCTTAATTTTAGTAATCGATAATTAAACAGTCATGATTTCTTTGTGCAGAAATATTATCATGATTTTGTGCCATTTATTATCAGGGCTTATTCTGGCTATAATCGAAGTCTGGTTCTTCATTTTGTCTTTAAATTCAATTCGAAATGAAAATTGGAGAGCTCATGTTATAAATATAAAATTTTGGTCTTTATATACTATCATTGATTTAGAATCTGGGCTAGTTCTAAATTTTGTGTGAGTGGTTATGTTTTTGATGTGTCCTCTCGTATATTCCTCTTGTTTGAAATGTGTGTCTGTGATGCCACATTTTGCTGACCATGTTTCTGTAGGTCACGCTGACCTCATAAATAAGGTCAAGACAGAAACGTCTGGAGATTCCTGGTCTCGATTTTAGCCAAGTTCAGTCTGGTGCTCTTAATTAGCGCACACAGAGCGTTGAACTTAATTAAGCATTGGGAAAGGCTTTCACACAAAACTTAGATCTAGTCTACATATTTCTCAACTAGTTTAAAAATTACATAAATATGTTGATACTATAAATGAAATTAAGGTTCATGAAACTGTATGTTGTTTTTTTTAAAATCAAACTTTACCCGTAGTTAACGAAATAAAATATTATTTATACTGAGCTAAGTTCATTGTAGTCTACCCGAGTCTACTGTATGGATCAAGGCTAGGTGTGTGTGTGTGTGTGTGTTTGTGTGTGTGTGTGTGTGTGTGTGTGTGTGTGTGTGTGTGTGTGTGTGTGTGTGTGTGTGTGTGTGTAGCGTAGACGAGAATACCACGCCTGTGTCCTTGTTTGTTGTCTATTTTTCAAATCTTCTCGTGCATTTCTAATTAGTGATTAATTTCGAATTTAGTACAGCATAAATTTGTAAGTGCTTACTCAAATTTAGCGTTCGTTATTACATTGTGACAAATAGATAAAATTATGACGTAGTAGTCACCCATCCCAACCAAATATAATGTCATATAACACCACCCTTTGTACTTAATAACACTTGACATGCACCCTTTATATTATACCACATTACTAGAAATTACTTCTTAATGTATAGGCTTAAATTCTATTTTTACTTTATTCATTGAAATTTCTTATTTGGTAGGCTACTTTGTCAGCTAGTATTTTTGTTACTTTAAAAACTGGGATCAATAAAAACGAAATATCGTAAACAAATCATTTTGATAAAATTGCGTTTTAGGTTATTACAGATAAATGCTAGCCCTTGTTTTAGAGTAAAAAAAAAAAAGAAAACCACATTTGAAGCCCGCTATAATTTCTTCATCCAACAAACAGATACAAGAGAATTTGTTAAAATTATGTTAAAATTATGAAGCATTAGAACAAAGATAATCCGATTTATTTTATGTAAAATTGTTCTATTCTAACACCGTGCCTCCTGTAAGACAATTAAAATGATCATCCAGTAATTATTTTTATAGTGTTAGATACCTAAGGAGACAATACAAATGGAAGAGTGGGGGGTCAAAGGAAGAGAGAAAAAAAACACAGAGAAACCCCGACACATCCCCGTCGGAGCCTCGTTACGTTACTCGAGTCACGTGACCGTGAGGTCAGACGGTGTCACCAAGGTCACACGTACAAAAGGTCAGCGGAGAGCAGACTGACTTTTGTTCCAGTTCCCCAAACCAGTTCTTGTGAGCAGGCAGACGACATACGAGGTGAGAAAAAAAAACGTAAACCGAACAGATTAAAAAAAAAATCCTCTTTAAGTTATTTTTATTTAAAGAAATGTGTCAGAAATTCCTTAAAAGTGTGTCATTACATTTTTTTACGTTGATTTAAACAAAATTACTTTAGTTTATAAATAAACAATTTTCTTTGTTTTGTTTTGAGTAAAGGATTTCTCGGGATATATTTGTTCAAAGTAATATGCTTGTTAGCAGCACACTTCTTCTCTCAAACCCAAACATCAGACCCCCAACGTCAGACCCCCCAACATCAGACCCCAACGTCAGACCCCCAACATCAGACCCCCAACATCAGACTCCCAACATCAGACCCCCAACATCAGACCCCCAACATCAGACCCCCACGTCAGACCCCCAACGTCAGACCCCCAACATCAGACCCCCAACGTCAGACCCCCAACATCAGACCCCCACGTCAGACCCCCAACGTCAGACCCCCAACATCAGACCCCCAACATCAGACCCCCACGTCAGACCCCCAACGTCAGACCCCCAACATCAGACCCCCAACATCAGACCCCCAACATCAGACCCCAACGTCAGACCCCCAACATCAGACCCCCAACATCAGACCCCATCATCAGACCCCCAACATCAGACCCCCAACGTCATACCCCAACGTCATACCCCAACATCAAACCCCAACATCAAACCCCCAACGTCAGACCCCATCATCAGACCCCATCATCAGACCCCATCATCAGACCCCCAACATCAGACCCCATCATCAGACCCCCAACATCAGACCCCCAACATCAGACCCCCAACATCAGACCCCCATCATCAGACCCCCAACATCAGACCCCCAACATCAGACCCCCAACGTCAGACCCCCAACATCAAACCCCAACGTCATACCCCAACGTCAGACCCCCAACATCAGACCCCCAACATCAGACCCCAACATCAAACCCCCAACGTCAGACCCCCGTCCTACCCCCAACGTTAGACCCCAACATCAGACCCCCGTCAGACCCCCAACAAAAAAACCCCAACATCAGACCCCCAACAACAGACCATTGTCAGATCCCGTCATATCCCAACAGACCCCCAAACATTAGACCCCAACATCAAACCCCAACGTCAGACCCCCAACATCAGACACCCAACAACAGACCCCAAACGTCAGACCAAAAATAGACCCCAAACGTCAGACCAAAAATAGACCCCAAATTAAGACCCCAAACATTAAACCCCAAATTCAGACCCCAAACATTGGACCCCGACCTCAGACCCATTAGACCCCCAAATTCAGACCCCAAATCCTAGACACCAACGTCAGACCCCAAACCTCAAACCCAACATTAGACCCTAAATAAAAAAAAAACAAAAAAAAAACAACATTAGACTTCAATCTCAGATCGTAAAATTAGACCCTAGCCTAGCTTCCGAATCTGATCCAAAGATCCTTTAAAAAAAAATTAAAAATCTTCCCCAATGTAGACACGTCGTTTAAAGTTTAGGTTTTACGACGTAAATAAATTAAACTAGAATACCCGTCATCCGTTGGATAACTGTGGGTTTCGGGGGTCATCCATCAAAAAACATCACGTCTGTCACTCAGAGGCATAGCGACCCTTCCCGGCGCCCGGGGACAAAGTTTTCGATTTGAACCCCCCCCCCTCAAACTTTTGATGTGCACCCCCCCCCCCCTCTCAAACTTTCGATTTGAACCCCCCTCAACCTATCAATTTATTTTTCCAAACCATTTTGGCGCCCCAACATATGTCCCCCCCCCCTTCCCCCCTCCACCTCCCCCCCCCCCTTCCCCCCCCCCCCGCCTCCCCTCCCCACCCCCCGCCTCCCCTCCCCACCCCCCGCCTCCCCTCCCCACCCCCCGCCTCCCCTCCCCTACCGCCCCCCCCCCCCTCCTCGGTACGCTACTGCAGTGTCACTTATCGTCACAAAAAACAGACCCCACATTCAAATATATGTTTTTTTATCTTTTAAAAACACCGAAAACACCGATTTCGGACTATCCCTTCATAAACTGACGTCACAGGTGACCTACTCAACTCTACTTCACCTGCCCAGTGTCCTGCCAAGTCTCAGACAACATGTTTTTATCGTTTAAAAAACAATTCCAGCCGAGCATGTATCTGACCACACTATCCTTTCATATGCTTAGGACAAAGAAACAGATGAACTCTACTTCACCTGCCCTGTATC